CCCCCCACCAACTCTTCCCCGGCCCTCAGTTATTTTCAGTCTGGGATTTGTGGTTTGTCTGGCTGCAGGAAGGGTTGCAACACTGTCTGCTTTTGTCATTTGTTTTTGTTGGAGGTGGGCAGGAGTAGGAGGACCCCACTGCACCCCCAGCACCTCGCAGAGCCCCATCCTGTTGTATGCAGGGCTGCAAAGCATGGTATCCCCAGTCCCTGCAGCACCCCCAGGGATGGCTTTCACAGGGAGATCCCAAACCCCTTTCCCTCGCTGCATGCCCTATAAACCATCTACAATGCCACAGCAGGGTGGTGCTCCAGCAGGACATTGCTCCAGCAGCCCCTGGCCTCAATCCCCACCTCAGGGCCCCTCTCCTGCAGCCCCAGTTGGCTTCTTCAGCCCCACAGGTGCAAGTGTACCCTGTGCATGTGCATCCTCAGTTCCTTGGCTACACACACACATAACCCCAAGGGTGCATGCATCCTTGTTCACCTGGGTGCACACATCCTTAGCCCCTTGGGTGCATGCATCCTGGTTCCTTTGAGTATATGCATCCTTGTTCCCGTGGGTGCATGAATCTCAGGATTATTATCAAGAAGAAAAATCGTTACCTGGCCCTAAAGCGAGTGGGGAGTCAGCAGTTTGGATTTGGCAAAGCGTAAATCAGTGTTGATGTATTTCTGGGCTGTTGGCAGTGTTTAGGTGCTGGCTGGCACACACACAACAGCAGCACTGGGTTAATGAGTGTTTGCTGCAAAGTGCAAAGGTCTCTCTGGGCCCTACACGTTTTGCTCAGCTCAGATCTCAGCACCAACGTGCTGCTTTGCACACCGGATTGTGGGGCAGCTCCCTCTGCTTTTAATGGGGTCTGTCCCCAACCCTTCAAGGCTGCAGGACCATACAGTGAGGACATGGTGGGCTCCTCCCCCTCCCCCCCCCCCACAGGCCCTATTGGGCTATGGGAATGGAAGCAATTAACAGAGCAAAGGGAAAAAAGCCCTTGGAGACTGAGAAGCAAAAGTAAAGGATAAAAGCTGCCCGTAATTAAATTCTGTCTTTTATTTTTTAATGGAGAAGAAAGGAAAGGAATCGTTTTCTGGCTGGAAGGAGCAGTGCTCAGATCATTCTTGACTCTCGGATACTCAGCTGCAGCAAAGCACTGCTGCCCCATATGTCCCCATTTGTTATAGGGGCATTGGTGGCTCTCCTGGTCCCCTCACCTTTACCCAGCCCCGGGGAGGCAGCAATATGGGCAGACTGTGCAGGCACGGGGCAGAGCCTGGGCTGGGATCCCTGCAGTTTGGAAGGGCATTGCAACTGGGGAATGCATTGCAATTGGGGAATGCGTTGCAATGGAGAACATATTGCAGTTAGGGAATGCATTGCGATGTGACAGCGAGGAGAATGGCTGCAAAGGTGCGATATTCCTACAGGTTTCACAAACATAATGTTTTTAGAGGGAGGCCCAGAGCAGGACCCTGGTTCTGTCACAACCAGAGGACTGCAGCAACCTCAGCTCAGCCCTGCCTGGCACCGAATAACTGTGCTCAAGCAATGGTGTTCTCCCCTGGGTGCAGCCAAGAGCCTGCAGGCACCCAGCTGGCGAGTGGAGATGGAGGAGGGGGGAGGCTGCTGCACCTCTGCTGTTAATTAGTAATTTCTGGGCTATGTTTGGAGCTCTGCTGACCTTTGAGCACCCGCAGCTGTGAGCAGGGCGGGCGAGGAGGTGGTTGACCCCAATCAGCCCCATAGCTGGCTAATTACTCATTAAATCGCTGTGGTGCAGTTAGGGAAACCTCAGCAGGGGTTCGAGGTGGCCAGCGGGCCAAGGAAATTTGGAGGTGGATGGGAGGAGATGTGGAGAGCTCTGAGGGAGATGCTGGAGAGAGAAAGGTTCTTCAGGCTCATGCTCTGCAATTAAAAGCAATTAGTAGTTGCACAGTTGCACTGTGTCCTGCTCCCAGTGGGGCAGCAGAGTGCACTGTGGGTGCCAGGTGAGTGTGCAGAAGTGTGAAGCATCCCAATGCCTGTGTGCACGACCAACCTGAACACCTTTGTATGCATGCAACCCACAAGCCGGCAGGGCTGTTCCCTTCAGTCCTGTAGGATGGGGACATCCATTCGACAGGAGGATCTCCTCCCCACAGCCCCAGCGTTTGCAGCATCCCCCCCTAGCCTGGGGCAAAGGGCACAGCCCCTCTGCTCCTCCTGCAGAGGGCTGTTACTCATTATCCCCCCTGGGCCTGGGGAGGGGCTGCTTGCTGAGCCAGGCAGCAGCAACCCCGCATCACTCCACAACATCCCCCCACGTCACCCTGCATCGATCTGCCTTGTCCTGCATCAAACCCCACAGCACCCCACGTTTTCCATCCAGCAGCATGGTAAGGAGGGGAGGGGGGCGCCCCACTGTGGGGTAGCATTTGGGGTGGAGAGGGGCTATTATTTACTGTGACTTTTGGTAAGGATCGGATAACAAATTAAATGATGTGGTGAGAAGCCAGAAAGGTTTATTGTAAGAAAGGGGGGAGGGAGGGAGGGAGGAGATTCCCTTTATGAGATAGGATCGGGCTGTGGCTGCTGAACAGGATTTTCTGACCCACCAAACATCTCCTTTCCTCAATTTTGTTCTTTTTTTTTCCCCCATGTATTTCATAAAGTCTCCCTGTTACCCTGGCTCTGCATCTATAACTCATCCCACCTCCCCCTCACCCCCAGGGCTGTGAGCTGTGGAATCAGCATTGCTCTTGATGGCCCTGTCTCCAGGCAGTGTCACTTCCCTGGGCAGGGTGATGGGCCATCAGGCAGTGTCCCTGCCCTGCCCGGGGGGAGCTGGGACGGGAGCACTGAGGTGATGGGGATAGAGGAGCTGGGGTACCCCTGCTGCTCCCTGGAGAGGTCTGGTTAGATTTGGGGTGTCCTCCTATGGGGTCTGCTTTTTGCATGCCCATGCAAAGTGAGTTGGGAGCTGAGCCCAGGTCTATCAAACTGGTGCAGAAAAGTGTGGGAGAATGGGGTGGGTTGTGCTCATGGGAGATGCCTGCGGCAATCCTCCTGCATCTCCCCATTGACTATGGGGACATCTCCAGCAGGGTGTTGGGCTGAGATGAGCTTCTGTGCCCTCAGTAACCAACTCCTGTGGAAACCCAGCCCTGGTATGGGGGCTTTGACTGACAAAGGATGAACAGCAGGGGAGGCATTTCACACAATTGCAGACACATTCCAGTTGGAGAAGATCAGCAAGCCCAGCCCACCGTGCCCACTGCCCACATCACCCAGTGCCACATCCCCAGGGTTCTGGAACACCTCCAGGGATGGTGACCCCACCACCTCCCAACCATTTCAGAGGAGAAATGTTTCCTGATAGCCCACCTGAGCCTCCCCTGGCACAACTTGAGGCCATCGCTTCTTGTAGTATCTGTTCTGCTCAGCTTCACATCTTGGTTTTGACCCAGGTTCACGGCCAAGGAGGAGTCAAGTTCCAGAATTGGGCCAAGACTTATGGCTCTTCCCCAGAGCTGTATTTCCAGCCCACCTCAGTGGAGGAGATCCGGGAGGTAAGGAGGAGCTCCCAGATCTGTAAGGAACTAGGGGAGGAATGGCCAGTGAGGGCAGTGCCACTTCATTGTGTTCAGATGGCTCCCAGACATGACAGCACGGATCCTTCCCTCAGCCCCAGGTTGTGGCCCAACCTTCTGAGCCACAGATATGGGCATCACCTCTTTTGGGGTGATCCCAAGGGCGGCTGTGCTGGCAGGAGACTTGTTCCAGGGGTGGCTTTGGGCCTGAATGGTGAATTCTCTGTGTAAAGATGGGTGAGGCTTGAGGTTGTAATGTGCCTCCATCACCATCCATGGTGTGTTGGGTGCTCAGGGGCCGTGTGTTGCCCCAACAGATCCTGGATATGGCCCGGCAGAGGAACAAGAGGGTGAAGGTGGTGGGGGGTGGCCACTCGCCCTCTGACATCGCCTGCACTGATGACTTCATGATCCAGATGGGGAAGATGAACAAGGTCCTCAAGGTGAGGCGTTGGTGGCCCTGGGATATGGTGGCACTTACCTTGGCATGGGGATGGGTGGTATGGCACCAGCGTACCTGGGATGGAGGATGAGGGGGTCTTTTTCTCACAGGAGGGAGTTCTCCCAAATCAGACCCTGAAATGTTGGTGCCAGAACAGGGAGTGGGAGTTTTCCCATTGTGTAGAAGCCTTGTAGCATTGTGTAGAAGCTTTCCCCTTGTGTAGAAGCTTTAGAGCATGTGGAGCTGCCGTAAAAATGCAAGGGAATGAGGATGTCTTCCCAAACTGTGTTTGAGGAGGGCTCAATATCTACACATTGTCCTCTCCGTGGCATGCTCGTAAATCATTTGGGTTAAAAAAGACTTCTGAGATCCCCTAGTCCAACCCCAACCCACCCCACCATGCCCACTGCCCACATCCCTCAGTGCCACATCCCCATGGTTCTGGAACACCTCCAGGGATGCTGACCCCACCTCCTCCCTGGGCAGCTGTGCCACTGCACCACTGCTCTTTTGGAAAAGAAATTTTCCCTAGTATCCAACGTGAGCTGTTGTGTTTCTCCTGCTTTGCATCCAGACCTGAGGGTGCAGGGAGACACTGGGCTTTTACTGGGGCTGAATGGCCTGTGTGCATGCATATACATGTGTATCTGCATATTTGTGTGTGTGTGTGCAATAGAGGGTGAAGAAATCTTGACTGTAGCAGAAAATTCTGAGAGTTGTATCACTGCTGGTAATTAGGGAGCAACTCTGGCCCTGCCTGCCAGAAGCAGGATGCACAGCTCCAGCAGTTCAAGCTGTCCCATCCTTTGCAGGTGGACAAGGAGAAGCAGCAGGTGACGGTGGAAGGTGGGATCTTCCTCTCAGATCTGAACGTGGAGCTGAGCAAGCACGGGCTGGCACTGGCCAAGTGAGTGGGACACGTGTGCTGGACCATCCCTAGGTGTCTGCTTGGTGTCCAGCCTTGCCCCAAATTGGGTGTTGGGATGTAGCAAGTTTGGGGAGCTTATGCTGCAGTGCATGGGTGTTTGCTTTGGGATCTGATGGGGCACTGAGGCTCTGCAGAGTGATCCCAGCTGGTCCAACCACCTCCTACCTGCAGTGATGTTCAGGAAGGGGCTTGCAAAGGGAAACACTCATGGAAAGCTGACCTCTGCTGACCCCAGGGAAGAAAGTACTCTTTTATTCCAGGCTGGCTCAGTATACAATCATAGAATGACATGGGTTGGAAGGGACCCCAAAGATCACCAAGTTCCAACCCCCCTGCCACAGGCAGGGTCACCAACCTCCAGATCTGCTACTAGACCAGGTTGCCCAAGGCTCTGTGCAACCTGGTCTTGAACAGCTCCAGTATCCTGCATCCCTCAGTTGATATGAATGGGTTTTTCAGAAGCCCTCCGGGGTCAAATGGCCACTGGTTTGGGTGGGGACAGCAGGATGTTCATGGAGGATAAATCTATCAAGGGCTTTGCAGCATCCATAGAGAATGGGCCTGGTTTAGGCGGTCCCTGTATCCCAGCTGTTGGAAGCTGGAGGGGGATTTGGGAGAAATGGCAGGAACAGCACATTGTTTAAGAGGTGGCTTTAGCCTTCTGCCTTCCCCATGTGTCTGTTTTTGCTGTGACTGGGGAGACAGAATTTGGGAGATTTCTCCATGCCAGTGAGGCACTGTAGGCTGATGGGGAGAGATGGGGACTTGTCAGGTGGGACAAGCTGGGCTGGCAGAAGTGACCACCTCTCTTTTCCTCTCTGTGAACTAAAGCAGGATCCTGATAGATCTGACCCAAGGAGAAGTTCACATATAGTCAAGAAAAACATTCATGGCTAAAAGGTGCCCTGAAGAGCAGAAAACCCTGCTCAGAGGGGCTGGGGACTTGTTCTGGGGGATTCTGTGCCAACACACAGGGTCAACATCCAGCTCAGTAGACTGTACCCCATGCCATGTCCCACATACTCAGGTCCTCACCCAACTTCATCTGCCAACAGCTTAGGAGCCGTTTCTGAGGTGGCAGCAGCTGGTGTGATTGGGACAGGGACGCACAACACTGGGATCAAACATGGCATCCTCCCCACCCAGGTGAGTCACAGTGTCAGCGTGTGGATGTTGGGTTCTGAGGGCTACAGGGGATCCATCCCATTGTCCCATTGCCTGGTCTGGGGCTAGCATGTCCCATGAAGGACCCTGAGCCCAAATCCTCAATGAGTCAGCCCAACTCATCCCCTGGACACACTGAGACCTCTTCTGCCACCTATGATCCAGCCCCAGACTCCTCTGTCCCTATGCTTTGTTGCCTTGTAATCTGTTGAAATTGATAGAGATGTGTTGATGGTTGGACTTGGCCATCTCAGTGCTCTCTTCCAATCTGTGATTCTATGAAATAGGAGAAAGCGCATAGTTCTTCTCTTATTGAAGCCCCCCCACGCTGAACCTTTGCAGGGTCCGGGTCTGTTGTTAACTGGACAGTTATGAAAATGCTCCTCTCCTGTCTCAGATCCTACATGGTGATCGCACCAATGCTTGTGGAGATGTGAAATCATTTGGGGGAGGTTTACTTCTTTAAGCTGGCTTTTAAGATGGCTTTTCCCAGTGTCCTTGAAGTACAGAAGGGTCCTTTTATGTCAGCACGCCAAAGGTGACAGAAGGAGATGTGGAGTCTGGGACACAAGGTTGGGTGCTCACTGATGCCTGACTTTGCTCCTGGCAGATTGTGGGGCTCTCGCTGCTGACGGCTTCAGGGGACATCCTGGAGTGCTCTGAGTCCATCAATGCAGACATCTTCCAGGCTGCCCGCCTGCACCTTGGCTGCCTGGGTGTTGTGCTCACCGTTACCTTCCAGTGCGTGCCCCAGTTCCACCTGCACGAAGTGACCTTTCCATCCACCCTCACTGAGGTAAGGTGTTGACTGTGCTCCCGAAGCCTCCTTGGGAATAAGCAGAGTTCCAGGCAGAAATAGTTGGAGGGAGATTGGGAAGTAGTAGGAAATAGTGTGAGTGTGCTTAGGTGGTTAACTGTTGCATAGGTTGTACCTGTTGTGTGTCTTCATGTTGTGCTTTGTGGTGTCTTTTAAGATGGGAATTGATCAGGATGACCAAGGAGAGGTTGGCCAGGGAGAGAAGTGCCATTTTAACTCCCCATGAGTGGGAATAGTATCTTCTGGGCCTGGGACCAGAGTGGTGTGGGGTCTCTTTCTTGGAGATCTCCCCAAGTCCCTTGGCTGTGGTGCTGGGCACCCTGCTCTGGGTGGCCCTGCTGGAGCAGGCGGTGACCAGAGATGGTTACCTCAAATCCCAAGCATCCTCAGCTCTGCTTTCAGCCTTGAATCTGTCCCAGGGCAGTTCAGTGGTATAAAGGAAGCCTCACCTTCCTCACTGCTATAACATTTCACCTTTCAGCCATTTCCAGGCTCTTCTTTTGAAACTGGTTTGGACTGTTGAGGATATTTTAAATATATATATATTTTTTGCATTTACCCAGTCTGAGATCCAAATATCTGGTTTTTACTATCCTGGACCAGCATCTGTGCAGCCCCATGGCTGTGTCCCAGCCTCTCAGCATCAGCTGTCCCCTGTCTGACTCAGCACGGAGGTGGCAGAGGTGGGACCCGGGTTTCCTGGCTCAAAGCCCCCATTCCTTGTGCATCACCCTGCTTGATTTTAAGTCATTCCCACACCTGGTGGGTTTAAATCACTCCCACATCTTGTGGATTTCAGTCACTCCCGTATCTCATAGGCAATGCCTGATGCAGATTTAATGTTCCAGCTGGAGAAAATTGTCCTGGCTGGAAATCCCAGGCTGCCAAGCCAGTGTGCTGGCCAATCTAAGCAAGAAGAAGGGGAGGAGTTTGTGCCTGCACTGCCCTGCATCCCTGACAGCCAGCAATGACTGCAGGTACCATGAACCTGGTGCTTCAGGGATGGGCTGCCTCCACTGTGCTGCCTCCTGAGAACCAGAGCTTTGCTTTTCCCAGTGACAGATGGGCCACCTAAAATAGTCTGGGAGCAGCTTGGTCCTAACTTTGTCCCTTCTTGTTTGTAAGTTCTGGGGATTTTCAAGATGGGGACCCCATCTTCCAGCACAAAGGTTGGGTTTAACCATTATTTTTTGAGAGGAACCACGCTTCCTTCCAGGGAAATATGAAAGGGCACAATGGGTGGCACGCTTCCAGGCCACGCTAACAAATTCCTTCTCAGCACTCAACCACGGAGCAGCACGTAGCTGTGAAAAACTCCTTTTAAGTCATTTGTCACGTTGCTACTGCCTACGTCATCTCCATCTTACCAAGGGCTCCAACCTCCACAACGAAGGTGTATGGCGCCAGTGGCCCATCTGAAGTATCCTGTGGACTTTTGACCCCATCTTGCACAGTTCTGAAGACTTCACACAGTGTCGCTTCTTGGCAACTTCTGCTGCCTGTCCTCTCCTTGTTGTCCCATCCCCATGGCACACGGCACATGAAAGGGCACTGAGGAAAGCAGAAGTTTGGGTTCCTGCTGGCTCTGGGGCGGAGCCACAGGACTCTGCACAGAGCTCAGTTTGAACAGTTTGACTTGATCATCTTACTGGTCTTTTCCAGCCTTTATGACTCTATGACTCCCTTGGAGCCCTCTCACCCTTATATTGCCACAGTGTTGGATGGGGTGGCCCCTCCAGGGCTGAGACATGACCTGTCCCATGTCACCAACAGAAGGTCATCACTGGAGGCCAAAGCCAACAGCACTGTACCACCTGTGAGCAGACTGTTATGAGATCTGATGGCCTTTCATCAGGACAGACTGCATTCACTGAAAGAGTTACCTTTCTGGATGGGGAAACTGAGGCACAGAGTCCAACAGATGGAATCTCCATCGATCCCTCCAGTGACAGTGGAGAGCTTTGAGAGCTTGGATCTGCTCCAATCACTGATTATCTGTGTCCTCCTAAGAGGTCTGACATCCCTGCTGCTGTACAAACCTCAGCAGCATCTTCATCCCTCATCCCATCTGAGTCTCACAGGTCCAGTTCCAGCTTTGGCTAACACCAGCGCAGAGCTTCGTTAAGCTGAGCTCATGAAAAATGAAAACTTCTTGGACACAACAGTGGAATTTGTTGTAGGATTGATCAGAGCCGCAGTGATGGTAAAGCTCTGAGAAATGCTGTCCTTAATTTTTTAAGGACTGAATTATTCAGTGCCCCATTGGGGTGGCTTGAGCACCGCCAGCAATGTGGACTGAAGCGGGATCATCTTTGCAAGTCCTGATCCATAGCAGCCTGGTGGCCTTCGAGTTGTGCTGTGGGTGGTTGGGCTGAGCTGGAAGGAAGGCAGGAAGGTCCATGCACAACACCCCAGCACCTGTGGCATCTCCATCGATCACCCAGGAGAGCAGCCAGAGCTGTAGCACTATGGGCATCCCTGGAGATGTTTCCCCATGGCACCCTCTTGGCCAGCACTGAGTTCCTTGCAGGTGTTTCCAGTTGCAGAGGGGATGAGGTTTGTATTGAATAATTCAACCTGCAGCTTCCCTGGTGTCCTGTGGCAGAGTTTGCCTGCTTAAATGCATTGAAGTGTGGTAGGATCTGCTGGCTCCTTATAGCTTGATCCTCATCTGTCCTACAGCACTGTTCAGACCTTCACCTGAACTGGCATCACCTTTGGCCAAGTAATCTCTAAGTGTCTGAGGTTGGAAGGGACCTTTGGAGGTCATCTGTCCACCCCCTGTTCATGAGGTGCTTTTCCAGTGCCCTCTGCCAGGTTTCTGTCCCTGCTGCTGAGCATCCCCATCACCTCCTGTGTGATGGGGTCTCATCCTCAGGGATCTCCCAGAGCTGTAGTGCTGGGTATGACATGGGCAGAGCAACGGTGCTCAGGCTTAGCAGTGCACTGGACCTTCCTTTAACAGCAGATCTGCCCTTGAAGGTGCCAGTCGTTTTACACCTCCTAATCTGCCTTTTAGCAAGAAAAGCAGTTGTGTTTGGGACGTGCCCACAGCCCCGTAGGGCTGGAGTGTCTTTCCCTGTCCCTCAGGGCTAGCAGGGCAAAGCAGGGATGCACCCTATAAATATTAATGCCATTATCAATCCTCTGTTGTCGCTGCTCCTCGCCTGCTTCCACATCTCCAGCTTTCATGTTGAGTGGCCCAGCGAGGCGGAAGAGAATAATGGCAAGGGAGCAGGCTGCTTGAAATATTTAAGCCTGAGTTATCTAAGACGTTGCAAATAATATATGTGTCAAAGGAGCCAGGCTTGGATTTGTGGTTATGTAAGATCTGCTTGCCTTCTTTTCTGGCCTCGTGATTGTCTTTATCATTGGAATATGCTCAGCTGCCCTGGCTGCTGATGGTGACTGGGAACAAAGCACAGATAGAGAGGATTGGTGGCACAGCTGAGGTCACTTGAGCCCCATAGCATGTGCTGGTGTGGTGTTGGGACTGAGTTCAGCCTCTCCTCGACCCAACCTGATGGGAAGCTAAAGAGGGTGAGGATGGGCCAGAATAAGATGCTTGTTCCACTGACGAGTTTCCCAAAAATTCCAGCACTGGAGGGCTGACGAAGTTAGGCTCTGAGCCCTCCACTGCTGAACCCAAACCCTTGTGAGATAGGAAGATAGTGATGGGACAAGGAAGGGCTGTTTTAAACTAAAAGGAGGAGGTTTAGGTTAGATGTTATGGGGAAATTTTGTCATCAGAGGGCAATGAGAGCCTGACACTGCTGCTCAGAAAGCTGTCCCATGCCTGGAGGTGCCCAAGGCCATGGATGGACCCTGGGCAGCCTAAGCTGGCTGATAGGGCCCACAGCCCAGCATGGATTGGGGGTGTTGTAAGGACTCTTCCAACTGAGGTTCTATGATCTTTAAGGTTCCTTCCAGCCCAACCCATTCTGTGTCTCTGTGATCATTAACTACTCTTCTAATCCAACTGTTCTATGATTCTACGATCTTTGAGATCTCTTCCAACCCAACTCATTCTGTGTGTCCCAGGCACCTCATCCTGGTGCTGTACCTAACCTGATACCCCCTGCCCAGCAATGCTGGCATTGCCTTTAGTGTGCAGATACAGATCTTCCCTTTGGAAGCGTGGGTGCAGGGTGACATTTAGCACCAGCATCCTCTCCCAAAACACAAGCTCTCCACACTCCCTGGCTCTGATGGACCTGGAGGACATGTGCCAGTGGCTTCACACTCCTTATCCCCCAAGGCCTGTTTCAACCCAGCCTTTATGCAGCGAAGGGATTTGTTCTAGGAAAGCAAAACGAAGCTGAGCCGAACTCCCCCAGGGCTCAGTGTGCTCCTGGGCCATCTTCATGGCATGAGAGAAGATTTCCGCTGTGCATCCTCTGCCTCCGACCCAGGCGATGTCCCCAAGGACTCCCACTGCTCCCGCCTGCTTTGCAATTATCCTACAAAGCCTCCAGCTGATTTCCTCTGGGCTGATCTGGCTCTATCAGAGGGATCAAAGGCACACATTGAAGAGGTCGCCCCGCTAACAATTTGCTTGCGCTCTCAGGAGGAGGAGCAAGAGCTGCAGGATCACCTTGAAAGCTGCTGCCTCTGCACGCTTCTCCCCCCTGACTTGTTTTAGCTCCTCGGTGCACTTGTTCCTAATACAAACCAGAGAATGTATGGGGTCGTGGCTTTTGCCCTGTTCCTGCTTGCACAATCGTTGACTGCTTCCTTGGAGAGTCATGGAGTTGCAAACAAGAGCTTCTCCAGCCAGAAAATGGGAATTTCTCTATGAGGTTTCACGGCTCAGTGTGCCCTGTGAATGCGTAGTTAATGACAGCAGCGTGAGGTCATTAATTCCCACTAATTGCAAGAATGGCTGTTCACTGTCCACCACTGAGGTTGCCGTACCACGTGACCATGCAGTGGCCTTAACCTCACGGTGAGGTCACAGCAAAATGCTCAGTGCTGAAGCAGCCCAGCCTGGTGATTAATAGCTCATTAGTACAAATAACCCAAATGGCCCATCTGGAAGTGAGCATCCGTGACCTCCCTGGGGTTATGACCATGGGTCACCACACCCTGCGTGAAAAGAAAACCCACTGGGTTTTCTTTAAGCTTTCCTGCAAAGCTATGAGGGATCTCTGCCAGGAGGAGCTGGGGATGCTCTTTGCAAGAGTGGTAGCGCACTGTGCTCAGGGTGAGCACAAGTTTTTGTACATGCAAGCATGGAGCAGGAACAAAGACTGATATATCTTCTAATTTCTGCAGTGGGATTTCCTTGAAGGAGCACTAGGATGAGACCCTGTGTCCTTAGGAACAGGCTGTCCTGGGTCTGCAGTAACCCCCATCTCCACCTGCATTGTCCCTGCTGTCCCCGTTCCTGGCTGTCTTCAGCTGCTGGCAGGCAGCTCATCCTCTTTAAAGAGCTGCCTTTCCTAAAGCTCTTTTTTGTGTCTTGATGAATAATTTGTCAATTCTGCATTTGGAGCAGGGTGCATCTCTGGGATGGGACTGTGTTGTGCATCCTGGTTCCATGCTGCACATCCTGGCTGCGTCCAGCATTGTGCCAAGCTGCAGAGAGCTGGGAGGTGAAGGGGAAGATGGATGTGCTGTGCTACCCTCGTGGGGTCCAGTCAGCCCCATAGGCTCTGCCCTGCAACCTTGGACCTTGGCACGGTGTGGGGTCCCTTCTTCTCAGGGTTATAATCCCTACCAGCCCTGTTTCCTCTGGTTCTTGCAGGTCCTCAATCACCTTGATGACCACCTGAAGAGATCCCAATACTTTCGGTTCCTGTGGTTCCCACACAGTGAGAATGTCACCATCATCTACCAGGACCCCACCAACAAGGCAGGTACCACTAGGCCCCAAGAGGAAGGGAGAAGGGCCATCACCAAAGTTGCACCCCAAAGCCTGGTCTCTTCCCAGGTCTGGATGTGACCCTACTTCATCATGGGAGAGAGATGTGGGGGTCCTGGGGTGCCCTTCTCCAGACCCCCACTCCAAAGTGGGATGCAGAAAGCTGCAATCCCTGCTAGTCCCTAATGACCATCATCTTCCTCTGCTTGGCTTTGCAGCCCCCCTCTTCCTCTGCTAACTGGTTTTGGGATTATGCTGTTGGGTACTACTTGCTGGAGTTTCTCCTCTGGATCAGGTAGGAGCATGGGGAGGGTTTGGGCAGCCTCATCTCTCTGTTTTCTGCATCTCTGCACTCGGGGATGTGGTGGCAGGGGGGAGGATGCGACCCAGAACCCCCCATCCCTGGGAAGAGGAGGCTGCCCACTGCCTTCTGTGCAGGAGCACGTTGGGGCTGGGGCTGATAGCTGGGGCTGCACTGCCCTCGTGTGCACAGAGCTGGAGCAGCCTGCGCATTTGCAAGGGAAAAAAAAATAATAAATAAATAAATAGGAACTTTTTGAGGATGTGATACCTGGGGTGAATAGAGGGGATGCAGACCCTTCAGAGGGCATCCCTGGGTTGGGGCTTGGGCTCCATAAGCCCTGAGCACTGCCCCGTTGGATTCTCACCTCCTGCTCTCCTCCCACAGCACCTTTGTGCCCAGCTTGGTGCGCTGGATCAACCGCTTTTTCTTCTGGCTCCTCTTCAGCTCCCGGGTGGAGAACATCAACGTCAGCTACAAGATCTTCAACTACGAGTGCCGCTTCAAGCAGCATGTGCAAGACTGGGCCATCCCCATGTAAATGGCCCTGCAGAACCCTGACCCATCCCAAAACACATGCTGTCCCTTGTGCTCTGCCCAGCCTAGCTTGCCTGGAGCAGGAGCAAAGCCACAGGGAAAGGGACCAGGCTAGCAGGCACTACTGCCATCTGCAGGCATAGTGTGGGGACCCTTCTGCATCCATATCCTGGAGTACTGATACCATGTCACAATACAATCTTTGGTTGTCTGGAGGAGTTTTGGGTGCCCCACCTCTGGAGGTGCTTAAGGCCAGGTTGGACGGGGCCCTGGCAGGCTGATGTAGTAGGGGGCACCCAGCACACGGCAGGGGTTGGAGCTCAGTGATCCTTAAGTCCCCTCCAACGTAAGCCATTTTATCATTCTGTGATCTTGGAGCTTGGTGATCCCAAAGTGATAGGATGGATATGCTGGGATATGTCACAGGGACATGGTGAATTAGCACAGGAATGGAGCTATGGGGCATTTTAACCCAAAGGCTGCTGGGTGGGACCATGCTGACGTTAACTGAGCTGCTCTTGGGCAGTGAGAAGACAAAGGAAGCGCTGCTGGAGCTGAAGGCTGCCCTGGAGAACAACCCCAAGATGGTGGCCCACTACCCTGTGGAGGTGCGCTTTGCTCGAGCGGATGAGATCTGGCTGAGCCCCTGCTTCCAGCGGGACAGCTGCTACATGAACATCATCATGTACAGGTGAGCAGCCCTCTCCTCTCTGTTTAGGATATGTACTCAGAGAAACACACACATCTCAACCACCTCTGGCTCTCAGCTGCCCCTGCAGAGCTCCTGCACTTTTGCTTGCTCACCCCACTTGGTGCTGGGCAAGTGTTAGTGGCATAGAAACATAAAACCATAGAATGGTTTGGGTTGGAAGGGACCTTAAAGCCCATTCATTCCCAGCCCCTTCCTTAGGAACAACTCCCACCAGCCCAGGCTGCCCAAAGCCCCATCTGGCCTGGCTTTGGCCATTGCCATGATGTTCCTAGAGGGTTTCCACCACCTGGTTCTTGTCAAAGAGTCCATGATGGTCCCCTGGGCTTGCCCTGCTCCCCCTGGTGCGGGTTTCTCGGGGGGGGTGTACAAATTCCCCTATCAATGCCCCCTTGCTTGGCTCCCCCAGGCCCTATGGGAAGAATGTGCCCCGGCTCAACTACTGGCTGACCTATGAGGGCATCATGAAGAAGTATGGTGGGAGACCACACTGGGCGAAGGTATGTGTGGCTACATTCTTCCTGGGGTCCTTTCCCTTTCTCCATCACGGCTCTTCTTGGTGGGGGCTTTTTGGGTGGGAGAGGGCCAGAGAAGGGCACCCACATCAGATTTCTCCCTTGGGGAGGGCTGAGCATGGGCTTCACAGCAGTGTGCTCCTTAGCCACAGGCAGCCCCCCACCATTTCCTCTCCTGTAGGCCCACAGCTGTACCCGCAAGGATTTTGAGAAGATGTACCCGGCCTTCCCCAAATTCTGCTCCGTCCGGGATAAGCTGGACCCTACAGGGATGTTCTTGAACACCTACCTGGAAAAGGTGTTTTACTGACAGCACGGGAATGGAACAATGCAGGAGATGGAAGAGAAATCAGCTGTCATCCCTGGTTCTCAGGACACCCCAAAGCTTGTAGTCCTTGGTGACCCCAAAATGCTGTATTCCCAGCTCTGTTCCCAGCTGTTGCAATGGCAGGCAGCATGGGCTGGCCCTGGGAATGGGGCTGTGTGTTGGCATTGCTCCTAGTGGGTCCCTGAGATATGCACAGTTCCAAGTGTCTCCTGTCCAAGCCAACATCTGAATAAAGAGCTTTCTAGCAGAGCCAGCCTCAGTGTGTACTTTCAGGTGGGTATGGTGTGCTCAGCTCTGTGGACCAGAGAACGGGCTTGGTGTCCCTGAGTCAGAGCTGGACACAGGGACCAGAGCCCATTGCACAGCTCAGGCTGGTGCCATCCAGGTCTTTGGGCTCAAGCCATTGCCCCTTGTTGAGGAACACAGGCAGATATTGGAAGAGGTTGCATCTGTGTTGGTATAAGAGAAGCCATGCTTGGACAGATGGACTTCGTCCTTTCCCAAAAGCCATGGGAGATGTTCCTCAGGACCCAGCAGGGCAATTCCCACTCTGCAGTCTCTGCTAGAAATTGTCCCCACTGGAGCAATCCAAATTGCACTGGCCTGGGCCTCACTTCTATTACCGTAAGATGGGAAAGCGGACATGATCGTGTAAAGAGAAGCTGGAGGATTCCCCACTAAGATCAGGATAGATGGGCAGATGATCAAAAATGCATTTAGTGCCCTGTGGAGTCAAGTAGAAAATGTTTACAAGGTTTGAAATTGGGCTCAGTGATCCTTACAGGTCCCTTCTAACTCAGGATATTCTATGGTTTGAAGGTCAGTTGAACTTTGGCTTTTGGAGCCATCAGCTGGCACAGGGTGGACCTTGTCCTCTGCATCTTGCTTGCTTCAGCTTCCCTCGACCTCAGGTGGTTAAAAAATTTGGCTAAACTGAAACACATGCAGTTTGTGTCCAACTTCTCAGTTTGTTCCCAGCCCAACGTGCAGTAGCCAGGACCCCAGTGGAAAAGATTAAGGCAGGGTGAAAGTGCTCTGGGGTGCCCAATGGGTTGAGTCAGGGAAGAGGGAGAGGCTGGAAGCAGCGCGGCATCTTGGGCAAAAAACAAAGGCCAGGTGGTTCCTGCACGTGATGTTTCTGAGTTTCCCCAAGTTCCTGCCTGCTGGAGCCTCATCTGAGGTGCAGCCCTTGGAGCCCCATGCCTTGAGCCGCTCTCAATGTACGGGTCTGCTGGAAACTCAACCTGAAGATAGCTGTGTTGTAGTTTAGAGGACTGATGATGAATGCGAGCAGGAAGCAGGTGAGGATTTACCTGGGGGTTGGCCTCCTTCCAGGGGGAGGAGTTTTACCAGGTTTCATTTCTGCTGCAAAAGAGGAATTCCTGGAAAGCCTTCGAATCCGAAGATAAAAGGTTGTATGTCCTTGCATGTGTTTAAATTGCTTTTGTAACAGATTTCTTTTGCTGCCTGAATAATGTGCTCTCAGCTTCTAACCTGTTTAATTTCTTCTATATCTGTTTATTGCAATGCTGGGGAAGGTTTCTTCCCAAGGAGATCTCAAATCCTTCCGTGCCTCGGTTTCTTGGGCTTGGTTTCCTGGTAGAAGCTTCAGTCTGACTCAGCTCAAGAAACCTCTCTGAATTCTTGAAAAAGCAAATTAACACAATTATCAGCTCAACCTTTACACTTTGTGTGCCACAACAGGCGTCTCTGGTTTGGTGGCACAAGAGGCAGATACTGCTTTGTGTTTTCTCTGCAAATTCTTCCACCTTCAGCACCTTCTCCTAAGGCTGTCTGTTGTCACCCACGATGTTGCTGGCAGGTCTCTGTCCTCTGCCACCCTCACGTTAACCGCATCCCCCCGTTCCTAAGGACACCTTAAGGTTAAGCCATGGTGTGCTGTGAAGAAGCCAGAATGTGTGAATCCTTGTGGAAGTCCTGCTGTGACCCCCAAGGAGGCAGTGGTGGCATCCTCAAATCGTGGCTCTGGAGGAAGTGATTGTGTTCTTCTCTCCCACAGGAGGCTCTTGCAGTGCTTCCATCTCTGTCCTGGGGCCACCACCTTCTGAGCTGCTGAGACCTGGTTCCACTAAGGGACAGCACCCTGCTACTCAGCCAAGGTCACCCCTGGTTTGGCATTACTCTGTTACAATGGCAGAAGGATGTTCCAGACCACCTGGTGAGTTTAAGGGGGTCCTGCATAGTGTCTTCCTTCACTGTGAATGTCATTGAACCTGTAATTACAGAATTATTATGGTTGGAAAGTCTAACCTCAACCAAGTCTAACCTCAACCAAGTCTAACCTCAACCCATCCCCACTGTGCCCACTGACCATGCCCCTAAATGCTTCTCCATTGGAGAAGAGGCTCAGATCCACTCTCAGCAACTCCTCTGACCACCCTTAGGTGGAACTTCCCAAAGGGGACTATAGGGAGGGGCTCTTTGTCAGGGAGTGTGGTGATAGAACAAATGGCAATGGCTTTAAATTTAGGGAAGGTGTAGGTTAGACATTAGGAGGAAATTCTTCACAATGAGGTGAGACCCTGGCACTGCTGCTTAGAGGGCTGTATGTACCCCGTCCCTGGAGGTGCCCAAGGTCATGTGTGGGGCTTTGGTCTGTGGGAGGCGTCCTTATGGCAGGGTTGGTGCTGGGTGGGCTTTAAGAGCCCTTCCAACACAAACCAGTCTGGGATTCTGTAGTTCAGCATCATGAGCTTTAAAGGGATGCTTACCCAGAGCTGCCAAGAATGATCTTCAGTTCAGAAACCCTCTAGTGAGATTTGGAGATCAGAAGCACTAACCAGAAATCCCCTTTCCTCTGACAAGGTGGCAATGATGATTCACTGGAAGAGACTCCCAAGAAAAAGAGCAGGAGAGATCTAATTCTTGAGGATGGGGAGCGAGAGACTCTTAAGAACTGTAAGTAGGGAAAAGGCACAGTGCCTACTGACCCTGGGCTTGGAACATGCATCTCTGCAGCCCTGACCTCAGTGTCCTTCCTGCAGGTAAAAGGATGCAAAGTGAACTAAAGACCATCCTGGAGAAGTCCTCCCAGAAGCTGTCACAATTCCTCCCTGTATTCAGCCAACCTGGGGCAAGAGAGGGGATCCTATATCTCAGGTGAGTCGATGGGTATTTTTTGCCTTAAAGGGCATCTTTTGATTCTTGTGTGAAAAGGAGCTGCCCAGAGCTTTTGCCTCATAGAATCATTCAGATTGGAAAAGACCTCCAAGATCCCCAAGTCGAATCCCAACCCACTGATGTCCAATCTGCCATTCTTTGAAAGCCTCAAGCCTATTGAACTTACTTAAATTTTAATTATGGTGGGGAGGCCCTGGCACTGCTGCCCAGAGAACTGTGGGTGCCCCATCCCTGGAAGTGCCCAAGGGCAGCCTGTGCTGGTGAGGGGAACACAGCCCATGGCATGGAGTTGGACTGAGGGGCTTTGAAGTCCTTTCCTACCCAATCACAGAATGGCCCAAGTTGGAAGGGACCTCAAGGATCACGAATCTCCAACCCCCCTGCCACATGCAGGGCCACCAACCTCCACATTTCATACCAGACCAGGCTGCCCAGGGCCCCATTCAATCCAGCCTTGAACACCTCCAGGGATGGATGGGGCATCCACAGCCTCTCTGGGGCAGCCACAACCCTGATGTGTTTCCATGATCCTATGAAATGTTCCTTTTTTTTCTATCTCTGTGCTCAGGAACCGCCTCACAAGCTTGAAGCCCGACATTCTGATGGACCCCATTTACATTGGTCTCTTTGGCAGCACCGGGGCAGGGAAAAGCACATTGCTGAATGCCATCATAGACAAAAACTTCTTCTTGCCAGTGTCGGGGAGCAGTGCCTGCACGTCCTGTGTGGTGCAGATCAACACAAGCCGCAGTAAACAGCACGAGGCCAAAATTCACCTGCTCACAGATGAGGCATGGATTATAGCTCTATGTTTCTTGAATGTCTCCCTAGAGACACTCAGGGTTGGGTTGGATGGAGCTTTTAGCACCTGATGGAGCTGTGTGTGTCCCTGTTCATTGTGGGAAGTTGGACCTGATGGCCTTTCAAGGTCCCTTCCAACTCAGATGATTCTGTGATTCAATGTTTGCCTTTAGAGGAGAGAGGAAAGAGGCTTAGCTGACTTCTCCAGAGGGAAGAACAACCTGATGGAAGAATGTGGGAGGGGAGGATGTGACCCAAAGGCCAATGTGTCCCCAAAGAAGTGATGGGCACTGGCGCTGGTTCCTGCTGGTTTAGGTGTGCCAGGAGGGAGGAAGTGATGGGATTTCTTGCAGGCATCCAAGCCATAATTTCTGCACATCTAATGTGTCCTGCCAGGAGTGGAAGGATGAGCTGAAGGGTCTGGTGGCACTTGTGGACCCCAGTGAAGACAGTGAGGACAACAGTGAAAGAAGTGAGGCTGCTTTGAAGATCTCTGCTATCTATGGGAAAGGAGCTGAAACTAAGAGTTACGAAGAGTTGTGCAGGATGAAACCCGTCGTTTCCATTCCCCCTTCAAGATGTATCATCTTCAGGGAAACAACAGTGAGTAGCCCCTGTATGTCATGGAATCCCAGAGTTGCACAATGATTTGGGTTGGAAGGGACCTTAAAGCCCATCCAGTTCCAACCCATGGGCACGGTCACCTCCCATAGACCAGGATACCCAAACCTCATCCAACCCTGGTGGGGTTCTGGTGTCTCTGAGGTTCTTTGTTAAGGGGGTCACTACTTTATTCACTTGCTATGGCCCAGGCAGAAGAACTTTCGGACAAAATGTGCCCATATATCCGGAGTCCAACCAGTGCAGTAGGAGAAATGAAGGAAGAAGACACAAAAATGCAGATCTGGCCCCTGATCAAAAATGTGGAAGTGACTCTCCCATATTCACAAGTGATTCCGGAAGGTGTTGTCTTTGTGGATATTCCAGGGACAGGTGATTTCAACAGCAAAAGGGATGAGATGTGGAAAGAGGTGAGTGTGAGCTGCCCCACTAGGAGGGCAGGAATATTTGCTTCTCTGCACGTGGCATACTTCTGTTCTCTAAGGATCAGTGATGGAGAGGCCTGGGAGCCTCCATGGGGCCGTGGGGAACAGGGATACCTTTAACAGAAGGTGCACACCATTCTGGTGTGGCATGTCTGAGTTAATGGGAATAAAAAGTGCTCAGCATCTTCCGTGTGTAATCTCATCCTTTATTTCTGGCCCTCCTTCCCCTCCTGCCCCTTGCAGAACATCAACAAATGCTCTGTCA